TAAGATTAGATAAGTTTATGAATTCAGCCAATAAAATCTGCTCTAACATAATTACTTTCAGTTTTTTGGTACTCTGGCTTAATTTTCTGCATTGATTCCATCTGTTGTTGCTGGGTCCTTGTATAAACACTTGTTTAAACAGTGATTAGTCTCACCAGTGTTGAATTAGATTAGAAACATGCACAGTGAATGACTTATCTTATGTGGCGTTTACAACCAGCCTGTGCCTTACTCCATATCTTGTGCCAGTGTAAGGCTGAAGTTATATTTATGCAGTGGCAGATGTGGAGAAAACCCACAGTGACTTTACTGATGCACAGCGAGTCGTGTGTCGGATTCGTGAGCTAAAATGCCTGCTGTTTAATAAATAGGTCGTTGGGGTCAGGTGTGTTTTCTGCGCTGCTCTTCGGGAATATCTTTAAGGAGACAAATGTGCTTTTAGCCTGCGGAGAGTGATACTGAATTAATACACTGCATTAATGTGTGTCAAAGGCAGAATCTGTAGCTAAGCTGATAGTGTTGTAAATTAGGTCATTTCAAGCTTTGTGCTGCTGAGACGGAGTTCTGGGTAATCTAATAGACTGGATTTGGATTGATACTAGGTAGTTTTGAGTCTCTGGCGCATAAACCACAATGTGAGGTGTGTTAGTTGGGATGCACACACACACATATGCATATACTTGTACAGATATACATTATTGTTTACCAATCCCAATAGTCTCAGATACTGCAAAATGTGCATGTTTGTATTGTGCAGGTGTGCATATTTGTGAACTTTTTTGTGTACTCACATCCTGTGTAGTAAATTTGTTATAATTTATAAGCTTGATTCATTCACCAAAACATGCTGAATTCTGGATGCCTGAAAACCTAATTAAATTTGTACGGTGTAATTTCTGTGCTGCAAGTGTCAATAAATGGAATTGCAACAACAGAGAGCTGCAGGGATGACATGTTTTTGTTAGCATTTTTAGCATGAGTTAACATTTTAGCATTTCTGTTTCCTTTGCCAGTCAGTGAGTTTTTTTAACGGGATTTTGGTTAAATGTCTGAAATAAGGGCTGTGGTTAACAAAAGCTCAAGATATTTTCACGTTTTATTCTACGACATGCAAAATACATCAGTAATACCCCCTTGTGATACTTTTCAGCTTTTACTTGTCTTGAAAATGCAGTTGCTAACAAGTGGTTAATTGGCACTACAGAGTCATCAAGGTAAACTCATCTATTCACAAGCCCACTTTTTCAGCTTCTTGTTATATCGCACTCTTGCAAACTATTTGAACTCAAACTTTCAGGGAAAATGTTTTTAAAGACTGAAAGAGTTGCTGAAAGCTTAGTGATGGTGACGTTGAAGTCATGTGTCTGCAGTGTAGTTTGTTTATAGCCTATGCTTAGATTCTGATGACTGTATTTAGGCTTCAAAACCCATAAAAGTTGTGTTCATATGGAAGATTATCATGATGAACAAAATGTGTAAGTAATTTGTTTGTCACAGATCTTTATTTTATTGCTATATTCTGAAAAGAAAAAGGAAATGTTAGCGTTCGCGTTAGCCTACTAAAATACACTTTATAATGATGGTTTTCAAACAGGTTTCTCAAACACGCCCTCCTCTGCCATTGGTTGGACAAACAGATAGTACCGCCCCAAATACGCACCATTGCTTGAGTCAGTGTTGCTGTGTCGAGATGCTAAAATAAACAGATCAATGTTTAATTTACAAATGGCTTATAGTTGACTAATATAAACATATGAAACTCCTTAAATATGTGAATGTTAAGTTTGCAAGCACACAAGTTGAAATGCTGATTGTTTTTCCTGTTATCGCTCATTGTGACATATGCTTCAAATTGACAATAATGGCAAGGTTTGTGTGTTTGAGAGAAAGTTTGCATGATTTAGAATACTTATGATTACCACATGCTGGGTTTCCCCACCAGGCCCACTACAACATGCCACAAACCCCAGTGCCAACAATTACAAACACAAACAAGAAAAGACAGACAGTAAGGCACTTTCTGAAGATGTCTGACATGTTGTTCCCATCTCATCTTGCTCTCTGCTTTTCCCTCTCGTCAGTTTTGTTTTTTCCAATCTGTCCCCCTCTCTCTCCCTTTCCCTCCAAAGTTGCTTTCCGGCGTCTTTTCCTGCAGTTTCCACAGCCGCCACATGATGTCAGACACATTTCAAACACAGTCCGTTTATACCTCAGAAATGGGGGTGGCAAAAATATTTCTGTATCCTGGATAGTTTCTCACATCTGTTGCAATGACACTGTCTAAATCCTACAAGGTGCCATACAGGAAATCAAAGCTTAAATTAGTGCCTTCATATCCTCAGATAGGGCTTTTCATGACTGGAAATAGAAGGACCATCAATGTCTTGCAGTTGTTCCTGCCACTCCAGCACTAAAAGCAAGACAAATCCTTCCAAGTATGCGGGCTTTGACCAAACTCATCCAGTTAAATGCCTAAACGGTGGAGCGGGAGATTTGGTGAGGAAAAGCTGAAAAGAGGTTCAGATTAAGGTGCCCACAACTGCAAACCTAAAGCCATTTAACTCCTGAAAAGCTTTAGGCCAAACTCATCCAGTTAAATGCCTAAACGGTGGAGCGGGAGATTTGGTGAGGAAAAGCTGAAAAGAGGTTCAGATTAAGGTGTCCACAACTGCAAACCTAAAGCCATTTAACTCCTGAAAAGCTTTAGCAGCTCAACTGGCCTTTTTCTTTGGGGAAGTTTCAAATCCTCGGTTTAAAACACCTGCACTATCATGTGCTATAAAATATAAAATGTTTTTTTTTTTTTAACAAATGCTCAGTTTGGGGTTCTTAACCTTATTTGTCAACCTTTGATATATTATATAATGTATTGTATTCCTGTGATGGCAAAGCGGAATTTTCAGCAGCCATTTCAGTGTCGCATGATCCTTCAGAAATCAGAATACTTTTCCAATTTTTTGTTTGTGTGGAAACCATGATGAATAGAAAGTCCAAAAGAACAGTTTTTGTTTGAAACTGAAATCTTTTGTGAAATTAAAAACTTTTTTTCTGTCACCTTTGATCAATTGAATGGATCCTTGCTGAATAAAAGTAATAATTTCCTTTAAAAAGTTTGGGTTTGGGACCAAATGTTGACTTATTGTTCTGCTAAACTTATGTTTCCTGTAAATTCAAGAAAAATATTTATTTGATCATTTTGTCTGATAATAACTTGGGTAACAGAGTTGAAAAATAGGTGTGTTTAATGTGAATTTGAATCATGACTTTGAGCTCTCCACAAGAAGTGGATGACCATGATCAATGTGTATCTTCAAAGCAGCTGCTATTGGATGGTAACTAAAAGAATGCACTCATATTGTTGTGTGTATGTTTGTTTAGTTTCACAACACACTCACGTAGACAAATTATGGAGAGCTTTCGACGGTAATGAAAACATCCTTTCGTAAACTTGCCATTATATTTAATAATGCCCACATTAATGCTAATTATGCACCCACTTATTCTCTGAATAACGGCAATCAGAAATGACAACTGTGGGCTTCACGCAGACGGAAAGACGCTCACACAGTAGTTACTGTATCCCACTGCCTTTGCAACTGCTAATTTTGTTGATTTACAACAGCATCATTTGGATATAGCTGTCCTACTCTCCAAATCAACAAACACACATGCTGTATGAACCCCTGCTATCATGTCCTGACTCAGTGTAAGACGTTCACTCACAATGCTTGAGAGGATTTGCGTGTGTTCCTTTGCATAATTCCATGTAAAGCTCATTTTCGCTGTGTATATCTTCTCTCCTCCTATTATTGGGGACAATGGGCTTGTGAGCAGCTCTTTTATGGACACACCTCATTTGAACAGGCTATTGATTGGCTTCTCAGACCTGGATTTGGAGTGAACTGGGCTTGTTTTGAAGTCACAAGGCAGAGCTTGGACTGCTCAGAAGACTTGAAAAGCAGAGAAGCAAGGATGTTTTAAAATGTATTGTAACACTATTAGTGTTGCTTTAAAAACATTTCACACGTTTAGAGCAGGACCACTTTGGTCATTATTTCATTGTTTTATGTGGTGCCACTAGTGGTTCAGCAGTTATACACCTCTTATTTAACATTTAAATAGAAGATGTGATTCTATATCTGAGAAGACATCATGGGTTTATCATGTAGTTACGTTGGAGAAGCTGTTTCCAATATACCACTTTTCAAAGTGAATAATGGAGCATGACTTCCTGCGCTATAACACGTCAAGGTGGCAGCAAAAAGAATGTTTATTTTTTTCCCCCCACACTGTTATCTTCTTGTAAGGTGTTAACAACTGATTATCCAACCTGTGCTTCAGCAGGTGTCTGTTTGTGAGAAAATTCTTGTCATTTCTTGATTTTTCATGTTGCTCAGTTGGGAAGTGATGAGATCTGTATTAGTCATCCATTGCAGGTCAAACCACACCTGAAATTTTCCATTATTACAGGTTGTTCACTTCAAGGATGATAACTATTACTAGAAAGTTTTAATAATAATTTATGAGAAAGTCAAAGCCACAGTTATAACGATGACTGAAATCACTTCCAGAATTTTTTTCCAGCTGATGAACAATAAAAAAAATTGACAGTTAAATCAGAATCCCCCCGAATCTAAAGAGCTCAAGCATTTAAAGTGGCAGACGGCAACTGCAACGTTTATGATAAACAGAATTATCGTCTGTTGGTGTGGATGCTGAAATAGTTCATGTTATAGTCATCTTCATAGTTACCGTTCTTTGAACAGGCCTTTATTTGATGTAATTAGAATATAATTTTATTATTTTTATTAATCTCATTCTGATATTTTCACAACACAGAATATTCTTTGCTCATTTAATGGATCGGCTCCATTTAAAATGGTCACTTTAGATGAAAATTCAAGAAATAAAATGTTCAGTGATGCATACAGTAGGAGATAATCTGAAGATAATAATGTTGAGAGTAGTTCAATATTTCATTTTCCCCATCTCTTTTTCAGCTTCCATCGTGCTGCAGAAGTGGTGGTGCCAAATGCACCCATGTTTGGATGGCGAGGAGTGTAAAGCTCTTCCAGACCTGACTGGTTGGTCCTGCAGCACCGGTAACAAAGTCAAAACCACCAAGGTGAGTGGGCCAAGTAAATGCGAGTTGCATTTTGCTGATGAGGTTTATTTGGTTCTTAAGGAAATGTAGGGCCACACTAATAAAATCCTGATTGCACTCTGACACATGCTACATTTAAGTCCAAGAGAGCCAGGTTGGCACAGAAAGTATCTTCTGCCCATGGTAAGAGGAGCATCTGAGAACCTTTTGGATTGCCATAAAAGTACCTTTTAAATAGACATTTCTAAGAGCTATTATATATGCCATCAAAACACTCCCCAGGAGTATTCTCAGAAGGCATTTCTTTGAGGAACCCTTTTCCCGATGCCTTTTTCTCAGGCAAACCATTCTTCAAAGCAACATTTTGTTGAGGCCTTACTTTTATAAGTATTCTCTGAAGCCCCTGAGAGAACAAGAAGGGCTATGTTGTGAGATAAAATGGTCATATATAGGGTTTTCTACAACAATTAAACACACCTCTTCAGATGTTCTCATGTTTCATGGGCAGATCATTGCAGGGACAGCACTTTTTTTCAGTCCTACAGTACATCTCTACAGTAAGTTATAAGCAGACACACCGCTCAAACTTTCTAAAAGAGACTTATTAAAGAATGAGCAAAGCTTGAAGATATATACAATTTCAGACTTGACTCCACAGAGTTTGTGGCTCAGCGAATAACTCCCCAAGGACTTCAGTTGTACAGAGAAAGCTTTCAAAGGCCGAAGGAGAATTTTCAAAAGCCAAGCCTAGACAAACATGCAGAGACAACATTGTTGGTTCATGCTAGCTTTGACTTGAAAAAGGCATAAAAGCGAAATGCAAAATTGACTAATTTGCAATTAAAGACGTACAATTTGTGCACCAGCTCATCTTCATATCTGAACTACTGGTTCAATGCCTCGAAATGTCAGTATTCAAGCTAAAAATAGATTGATTGGTTAGATTAGGTTTCCAAACAGAAAGAAAGCTTTTAAAACAAAAATGCCTACCTCATAAATTGAAATAACGATTAGATATGAGAATTGGAGACGTGCAGATGTGCTTCTGTTTGTTCGGTGAACGCCGGGGTAACTGCTGTTTCGTGCAGGTGTGACATACACGTGAAGTATTGAAGAAATAACAGTGTCTGAGAACACACAACTGCCACAAGAATAATTGCTCAGAGTTATAAAGTAACAGCAGAACATCTGTTGTGTTCATTAAAATGCATTATGGCTATGAGCTCCACTGAGACTTTCAAATTAAGAGTCCTAATTAAATTGGTAAGAGGGAGAGATGAGAAATGAATGACGGCTCTGGATTTTCATTCAGGATTAATGACTCTGTTTATTGAGTCCATTATTGGCTGAGTTGACTGTCAGTGGGCTAAGCCCCGCCTTCTGCCACCACAGTAGCCAATGGGCTGCGGTGAGTCACAGATGGGATGCGGGGGGAGGGTGTGCCTTACTCCAGTGAGCATTAATTCTGTATATAATAGCAGTGGAAATGGAACAGTAACCAGCAGACTTCAGCGCATGTCACAGAAGATTGTGGCATTGAGCCAGGATACATATTGTGTCTCTTTCCATCTGCCTTCTTATATCTTTACATTCTCCTTCTGTACCATCCACTGAATATCTGTCCTTTATTATTATTTTTTATTATCCTTCTCCACTGTCTGCCTTTCTGCTGTACAGCTGCCATACAGCTTAATGTCCCTTTCCAACACTAAAGCATCTAAGAGTGCACACTTAAAATATATGGAATTTATCTAAAATAGTAGGCTATACATATTTTTTGTATTATTTTAAATACTATAATTTGTTTAATAATGTTTTGAAATGTATTTAAGTGAAAGTGACGTGACGTGTGGCCAAGTATGGTGTCCCATACTCGGAATTTGTGCTCTGCATTTATCCCATCCTAGTGCGCGCGCGCACACACACATACACACACACACACACACGGAGCAGTGGGCAGCCATTTTTGCTGCGGCGCCCATGGAGCAGTTTGGGGTTCGGTGCCTTGCTCAAGGGTCTCACCTCGTCGTGTCGTGTATTGAAGGTGGAAGAGAGCACTGGTCATTCACTCCCCCCACCTACAATTCCTGCAGGTACCAAGACTCGAACCCGCAACCTTTGGGTTACAAGTCCGACTCTAGCCATTAGGCCATGACTGCCTATTTATTTAAACGATTTCAAATGTTTAAATTATTTTATACATTTAACCAAGGAGCAAAATTGCATAATTTCTTTCTTGCTCTATTGGCAAGTATTTATTAAGCATACAATTATTTTAAGCATAAATGTAATACAAGTAATATAATGTAAATGAAAATATAAATGTAATATTCATGTTTAAAACAAGAAAAACTAATCAACTTATTTCAATATATATTCTCTTAAAACAAGCATGCACACTTCAGTTCATTTTTGAGACCAGTATATCTCTCTATCTGAGATTTACACACCGCAAAAATATTTGATATATCATTTATATCAAATAGTAATGTAATTATTTATAACAAATATATATTACTAATATATATATATTGTATAATTATATAAATTCTGTTTAATAATTTTGTTTTGCTTTAAAACATATTTAAATGTTTTTTAAACAATTTAATGTTTTATAAATTTAACCAAGAACCAAGAATTGTTTTCATGTGTGTGTGTGTGTATAATTTTACTATATAGCAGATGTATTCTCATAACATAAATCTAACAAGATAAAAGGACAATTATTGTTAAAACATGACACATTTTTTTTTTGTTAGATGTTTTTTTGTTTTTAAAAACTTCACATACATTCCTGAAAAAGACAAAAATATTGATTAAACATCTCAAAGCAGACGGTGCCATTCCAGTGACTGTGTTATATATTCTTTAATCCTACCTCTCTTTTTATTCATAGGTAACACGATAGCAAGAACATGGCTGCCCTACCAAGAGGTCCAAGGCTCCATACCAACCCCTAATGGAAAAGGAGACCCTCTTGTTTAAGACACTGACATTACAGAGGATTCCGTACATGTGAAAGATGGACAAACTCATTATAGACTATAGATGGCCGCCTTGCTTTGACAGAAGATATGAGGATGGAGAAGGATCTCTGTATAAACCTGAAGTTTGACCGAAGATGCTGGACTCAGGTGCTCATGTGAGAGACTGCTTCTGTCAGCTGAAAGTGACTTTTTGGATTTCCACTGGCTCTCTTGAGTGTATGTGTGTGCATTTGTGAGACGGATTATAATATGTGGGACTTGTAGGACAAACTGTGGACAGTTCAGACCTGTCTGGGAGCTTGTATGTCTGTGTGTAAGTGTGTGTTAGTCAGGTTGATGATGATGAGACGGTAGTTCAACACTGTTTATCCGCTTTCCAGCACACAGCAAACTTTCTATTCATGAGTAGGGTGGGGATTGCTCTGAATGTGTGATTCACAAGTTATTATCAATTTGCTCTTTTGGGTTAAGTCATTACCCTGAAAATGTTTCCTTTAAGTCATTTTGCACTTCTAATTATGGTTGCTGAATAGGATCATAACAACAAATCAAAAATCCAAGGGCGATTTTTTTTGGACTAGATAAGATCATATGAAGTTGTTTTCCATTTTCTGGTCTTTTACTGTCAGTGTAAGATGGAATTCAAGAGAGAAACATTTATTAAGCTTTCTTCCACAAATGCAAAGTAGAAATGCAAGTGATGTAGTCAACAGTAAAACTGCAGTAAAATACAGCTCCTCTTTGCTGTAAAAGTTTACGTAATGTGAGGTTTACAGATGCAATCCCCTTCAAAAAAACATTTAAAACTGACAGCTGGTTAAAAATATCTATGTTACTCTGTAAAATGATCCACAAACCACTTAAAGGTGCACTAAGTATTTTTACTGGATTTAACACCTAAATAAATTAATACTGATAAATATGGTTAAAATTGTGATTACTTAATAGAAGCTGTTTTATTCTACAAAGGGCAACAGACCCTCACGGGGACCACCAGGGCTGGACTGGGACAAAAAATCGGCCCAGGCATTTTTTGGTCCAGGCGGCCCACCACCATTTATTATAACTACCAGTCAAAAGTTTTTGAACAGTAAAATTTTTTATGCTTTTTAAAGAAGTCTCTTCTGCTCACCAAGCCTGCATTTATTTGATCCAAAATACAGCAAAATTGAAATATTTTTACTATTTTAAAATAACTGTTTTCTATTTGAATATATTTAAAAATGTAATTTAATTGAATTTTTTTGCATCATTACTCCAGTCGCATGATCCTTCAGAAATCATTCAAATATTCTGATTTGCTGCTATAAAGGAAGAAGAGGCTGTGGGTGCATGAAACTCTCAGGTCTTGAAGGCTTGCTAAGGAGCTTCGTTTGAATGCCCCGTTTCTATTGGCCGCGCGGGTAAACATCACAGAGCGCAGCGGCAAAAGTTGAACTATTTTGAACTTTGACCGCGGCGCGCGCGCAAGCTCGCCGACAGTGCGCTCCGCTGCGGGTGCGCTTTGGTCGGCGCAGCAACAAACCGCCCTTGCGCGGCGCAAGCCATTGAAATGAATGGGTC